GGAGATTATACCAGCCTCAGTTATGAGCAAGGGATGAGCTAATGTATGCAAAGTGCTTGGCAGACACTAAAAGCTTAATACTGAGAAATGGTGGCGCATCATTATTACTGGTTCAAGGAAATCCCTGATCAGGCAAACATCATTCCCATTCTCGCTGCAGGCCTCGGAGGACCCGGGCTAGGGTTGAGTCTCCTGACATCTAGTTTGTGCTCAAGAATGAGAACTGTTGTTGTTGTTGTTGTTGTTGTTGTTATTGAGACAGAGTTTTGCTCTTGTTGACCAGGCTGGAGTGCAGTGGCACAGTCTCAGCTCATTGCAACTTCTGCTTCCCGGGTTCAAGCGATTCTCCTGCCTCAGCCTCCCAAGTAGCTGGGATTACAGGCATGCACCACCATGCTCAGCTAATTTTTGCATTTTTAGTAGAGATGGGGTTTCACCATGTTAGCCAGGCTGGTCTCGAACTCCTGACCTCAGGTGATCCACCCACCTCAGCCTCGCAAAGTGCTGGGATTACAGGCATGAGCCACTGCGCCTGACCGAAAGCTGTTATTATTATTGTCGTTCCTCCACTCAGCCACTACCCTGGGTCTCCTCCACAGGAACCTGACCGATTACTAGCCAGAATAGTTCGTGCTAGGGGAGGGCCCGTGGGGAAGGGGCTGTGACACGGGAGATTCCCGGGGCTGCTTTCTGTCTTTGCGGGGCCACACCTGCGCACAGGGTGGGCCTGAACAGGGCTTTTCTCTGGAAGGTACCTGAAGCACACCCTGGACCAGTACGTGGAGAGCGACTACACACTGCTGTATCTACACCACGGCCTGACCAGCGACAACAAGCCCTCCCTCAGCTGGCTCCGTGATGCCTACCGGGAGTTTGACCGCAAGTGGGTTGGGGCATGGGGCTTGTACAGGCGGATCCAGAGGCAGCGGCTCTGCCAGCTTCCAGGCTGTCCTCCACTTGGGCAAGAGCTTATTCCAGGGCAGGGGGTGTCAAGTGCTGCCTTCTAAATAAATGAAAAAATCTGCAGTCAGATCACCCTGGCCTTAGAGCCCAGTTTCTCCGCTTATTCACACTCTGATCTCCCGTTTTACTTAACCTCTCTGAGCCTCCTGTTTTCTAATCTGTAAAATGCGATAGCCATGGCCCCTACTTACCTGGCATGCTGGCCCTGCGTGTTCAAATCAGAAAGTATGCACTGAGGCCAGGCGCGGGGGCTCATGCCTGTAATCCCAGCACTTTGGGAGGCTGAGGCGGGCAGATCACTTGAGGTCAGGAATTCGAGACCAGCCTGGCTAACATGGTGAAACCCCCATCTCTACTAAAAATACAGAAATTATCTGGGTGTGGTCGTGGGTGCCTATAATCCCAGCCACTCAGGAGGCTGAGGCATGAGAATTGCTTGAACCCAGGAGGTGGAGGTTGCAGTGAGCTGAGATCGTGACACTGCACTCCAGCCTGGGCAAAAGAGCAAGACTCTGTCTCAAAAAAAAAAAAAAAAAGTAGCCCTGGGACCCTAGCACAACGCCTGTCCCACCACACCTGCTCCTGAGTTGCCCCTTCTGCCTCTGCAGGTACAAGAAGAACATCAAGGCCCTGTACATCGTGCACCCGACCATGTTCATCAAAACTCTGCTCATCCTCTTCAAACCCATCATCAGGTGAGTGGCCGCGGGCAGAGCAGGGCCAGTGGTCCCGGCTTACCTGAAGCCCGAGGCTGGGCAGCCTGGGGACCACCAGGTGAGGCTGGGCCTGGGTCTGAACTGGGTGGGTGTTAGGGGCAGAGTGGAGGCCACCAGAAGCAGGGACTACCAACCCAGGCCCTTTCCTCTACCAACAGCTTCAAGTTTGGGCAGAAAATCTTCTACGTGAATTACCTGAGTGAGCTGAGCGAGCACGTGAAGCTGGAGCAGCTGGGGATCCCTCGCCAAGTGCTCAAGTGAGGCGCGCGTGGCGGGCGTGGCGGCCGGGGGCTTGCAGAGCCAGGGTAACGAGGACGCGCGTCCTGATTCAGAGGCCGCGTGGGGCTTAGGCAGAGCCAGCCTGTGTCCTGACCTCTCCCGGGTCTTTGTTTTCTGCTGTGGAAAGCGGAGTTGTTAGGGAGATCGCCTGAGACGATCCTCCTGACCCAGGATGGTCAATGCTTGATTGAATTGGCGGAGCAACTCCAGAGCCAGGCAGGGCCTGATCCACCTCTCTCTGCTCCTGCAGGTATGACGACTTCCTCAAATCCACACAGAAAAGCCCTGCGACAGCCCCCAAGCCCATGCCCCCACGGCCCCCGCTGCCCAACCAGCAGTTTGGGGTGTCGCTGCAGCAGTGAGTATGAAAGGTGGCTGGGCCTCGGGGGCGGGGCGGGGCTTGGGGGGCGGGCGGGAAGGGCTGCAGGCCCGCCCCTGGCCTTGTTCTCGCAGCCTCCAGGAGAAGAACCCAGAGCAGGAGCCCATTCCCATCGTGCTCAGGGAGACTGTGGCCTACTTACAGGCCCATGGTGAGTGCCGGGCCTGCCTGCTCGGGCTGGGAAGCTGGAGAAGCTGCCAGGCAGGGCAGAGGGAGGTCCTGCAAGCCTCAGTGCCCCCATCCAGCCCTGCCTAGAACTCCAAGACAGAGCAGGGGCAGGGAATCCAGCTGGTGCCCAGCGCTCCGAAGCTCACCAGGCCCTACTGTTTCCCAGCTCTCACCACCGAGGGCATCTTCCGGAGGTCAGCCAACACCCAAGTGGTCCGGGAAGTCCAGCAGAAGTACAACATGGGTGAGCGGCCCAGGGCTGCGGCAGGGCCACGCGTGTGACTGGTAGGGGCTTCTCTGCCCTCTGCTGCCCTGTAAACAAGGGTCTCAGAGTCTCTTCCTGCTAGAGGTTTCCATAGCACTTGGTGTCACATAAGTCCCACTTCTGCCAGGCCTGCTGCCTCATCGGTCCAGCTCCCGAGTCCTGGGTGCAGGCACATTCAGAAGCAAGGAATAACGGTGGGATGTGCTGGGCCCTGCTCCACCCAGATGGCCAGAACCTGCATTCTCTGGTCACCGAAGAAGAGGGGAGGCAGGTGCCAGAGGGCGCCCCTGGGAGGAGGGGCCTATGCAGGGTCCAAGTGCGATCAGGCAGTGGGGCCTGCATTGTCTCCAGATGGGTGCTGCCCTTCAGGCTGCGCCGAGCTCCTCTCATGCTGCCCCCACCCCAGGGCTGCCTGTGGACTTCAACCATTACAACGAGCTGCACCTGCCAGCAGTCATCCTCAAGACCTTCCTCCGGGAGCTTCCTGAGCCCCTGCTCACCTTTGACCTCTACCCCCACGTGGTGGGCTTCCTCAGTGAGTTCCCCTCTCTTCTGTTGAGTCTGAGACTGGACTTGGGGCAGGTGTGCTGTGGGCTGGCAGGCCTAGGTGCCCCCCAGGGAGGACAGCTTGGGAGGTCTCCCCTCTGGCATGCATCAGGACTTTCTGAACCAGCCCAGCCCAGGGCCCCTGTAACCCGGGCCCCCTTTTCTCTAGACATAGATGAGAGCCAGAGGGTGGCAGTGACACTGCAGGTCCTCCAGACGCTGCCCGAGGAGAACTACCGGGTGCTTCGTTTTCTGACTGCTTTCCTGGTGCAGGTGAGATCTTGGACTTGGCCTCTGGGGTGAAGGGAGGGGAAGAGGAGCTGCTGCCTCTGTGCCCCGGTCGGGGTTGCTGGGAGTGGGAAGCAGAGTCTGTGGCTCTCTGCTGCAGCCCCCGATTCCCTCCCCAGATTTCTGCACACAGTGATCAGAACAAGATGACCAACACTAACCTGGCTGTTGTCTTCGGCCCTAACCTGCTGTGGGCCAAGGATGCAGCCATCACCCTCAAGGCCATTAATCCCATCAACACCTTCACCAAGTTCCTTCTGGATCATCAAGGGGAGCTGTTCCCTAGCCCGGACCCCAGGGGGCTCTGAGCCCGGCCTCTGCCCCACCAGCCCCTTCTCTGATAGCCCGGGTTTGGACTCTTCCTCCTGCCATCAGGGGCCATGAAGCCCCCTGGAGAGAGATGCTGGAGCCGCCCATCAGGCATGCTTTCCCCCACCTCTGTCCAGCCCACCTCACGGCCCTGGCGGCCTCGCTGTTACCAGAAGACGTTTTTCTTCGCCTTACACTTCTCACTGCCTCTCTGGACACCCGGCTTTTGCTGGGCTTTCCAGAGCTGGGCTTGGCCCTTCTAGCTGGAGAAGGACTGAGCCCCAGTAACCCCTTTCCTGCTTTTTCCTGCCTCTTTTTCCCTGGCAACTGTGGATTAATCAAATCACTGCCGGCTGGGCTGGTAGCAGGGGCCGGTCCTCCCCTCCTGATTGCTGGGAATGAGCAGCTGAGCTCCTTGGTGTGGCCACTGCCCCACGCTGAGGCGCCTCCCTGTCTGGTTGGCTGCTGTGCTTTGCCCTGCTTTGCTAAGTCCCACTGTGTGAAGGAGTGCAAGCACCCCTGTTCCTATGCTGCCCCCAGCAGTTCAGCCTGGGGTATTTCCCCTGCTGAGGAGTGACAGGGCTGGAGCCTGTGTCTGCTTTCTGCCTCCTTCTCTTCCACGAATCCTGGGTCAGCCTTTCCCAAGTGATACTGCCCCTGGAGTGTCCTAAGCCCCTGGTTCTGCCAGGAATGGTAGCTTGGATGACAGGGCTCAGAGTCCCAACATCCATTTGAAATCTCCCTCCCTGCCTCTGGGTATGTGGTGGGATCAGTGACTGGCAGGGCCAGCCTCTCCCTGGCTGGCCTCCTTTCCCACACAGGCAAATCCTCAGCCTTCAGGTTCTTATGGACCTGCCTGTTGTGGAGTCACACTAGCCCCTGCCCCGGCCAGAGGTGACTCAGTGCTTCAGGATCTGTGTGGCTCCTTCCCCCAGCTGGGGTACTCTTAAAGGGGCTGGGGTAGAGGCTGAGTGCCCATAGGAGGGCAAAGATTGTGCTGATAGATCAGCCCAGATCGGTGGGTTCTAGCAGTTTCCCCAGGGGATTAATGAGGCTCTAGGGCCCTGCTGTCTTTCAAGGAACTTCGACACCAATTCGACCCCAATGATGGCTGATCTCTCCCGCTGTCTCGTAAAATTACACTCCTTCCTGATGAACTCTGGGGACCCCTCTTCCTGCAGCCTTGTCCTTGGGGAGTAGAGGGAAATACCTGCAGTGACCCTGCCCCCACGACATTGGCCAGGCAGGACAATTCTGGAGCCTGTACTGTGGGGATCCTCACTGGCCAGCCCAGCCCTGTCTGCAAGCCAGGCTGGGCCTGGGTGTCACTTCGCTGGGCTCTCCCTAGGCTATCAGCAGTGAATACCCCCACACCCGCCACTGGGAGCCTGGGCTCTCTGTCAGTCCCTTGGTCTCTGGCCTGGGCCTGGGCTGCTCTGCTGCCTGCCCTCCTTTGTGTATCAAGTGTCACTCACAGTCCCATTCACTGGGGAGCCTTTCGGATCTATTTGGTCTTTCTCGTGCCCCCACTGGTCTGTACCCCGGGGAAGGGGTGCTTGTACTGTGAATCCAGTGTTCACATTCACACTTAATGACTTCCTTGGCACAAATCATGTATTTCACCATTTGCACTTTTTGTATTTCAATAAAAATAGAGATGCAAAACTGCCCATCTGGATGTTGGGGAAGTGAGTGGGGCGTGGAAGTTGGGAACTAGATGGGAAGTATGGTGTGGTAGAGGAAGAGGAACAGATGGGGCCTCAGGAGGTCCCCTCCCTAGTCCATCTGTCGCTTCCTCATCTTGTGCACTCGAGTGGTGACGAGGGCACCTTCCTGACCAGCTTCTAGACATGAAGGTGTCCACAGCAACCTTCCCTTGTTTGTACCCCCAGTATACCAGCTGGCCACCATGTACTGTATCCTATGAGCAGGGCCTCTCCTGTTTCCCAGGTGGAAGGTACCAGAAGTTTGAAGGGACCTTAGATTTATCTAAGGCAAGTAGGGGGAAGAAAAGTGTGGACTGTGGTGGACAATGGTGTGGGATCTGGGGTCACATGAGAGAGTCCTCATTCCCTCATGTACCAGGTCTCACCAATAATCCCCTGGCTTACCCTGTGACTGCTGCTTCATCAGAAGACGGTTTCTCTGAGGATCAGAAATCATGCAGACACCCCAGGCACGTGACTCACACCTGTAATCACACTGCTTTGGGAGGCAGAGACAGGAGGATCACTTGAGCCCAGGAGTTCAAGACCAGCCTGGACATAGCTCTCACATAGTAAGATCCCGTCTCTACAAAACCTAAAAAATATTAGCCAAGCATGATGGCACACGCCTGTGGTCCCAGTTAATAAGGAGGCTGAGGTGGGAGGATTGCTTGAGCCCTGGAGGTCAAGGCTGCAGTGAGCTGTGATTGCACCAATGCACTCCAGCCTAGGTGACAAAAAGAGACCCTATCTAAAAATTAAAAACGTAGGCAGCATCTAACATCACAAGTGTGCAGTGGTCATGCATGAATGGTGCAGCAGCTGGGAGAGGGTCCCTCAGCCCCTGAGCCCTCCCTTCCATGCCACCCCTTAGCCTCAGGTCAGGCCATTTCCATCTGCCACCTACTCACAAGGAGGCTGTGACAGATCCAGTTCCCCTATCCTCTCTTGAGCAGGTTTTGCTTTGCTTTAAAGGTCAAGATGGTTATTCTACTGCAATTTTTTTTTAAAGGTTTGTCAGTGGGAGGGTAGGACAGAATTTCACTTCCCACAGTGGTCAAGTTCCAGGTGTTTGCTGCTTGCTTGCTAATGGCAATCAGGAAGCTCTAAGTGGCCCCAGCTGGGCCTGGTTTTTCTCCTCCTTGCTTGCCTGGGTTGGGGGAGCAGGGCCAGAGCTGCGGGATCAGGCAGTGTTAAGATGCTGGTTATAAACATTAGGCCTGAGCCCCAGGGGGCGAGTCCCATTGCAAGATGGTGGCCTTCCACCAGGCACTAGGGGCCTCCTCTCTCTCTGGATCTGCTCAGCTAGAGCTGGGCAACTGGAACTGAGAGGCAGTGACCCAGGGAAACAGGAGTGAAGAAACTGTTTACTTGAGTTGGGCTCCTGGCAGGGCCTCTGCTGAGTGACTCAAATGCCAATTTACCAAGGTCTTAGCAATGCTGGCTTCCAGGGGTGGAGTGCAGGGAGATGCTTTAAAGAGGCAGGACACCATTGCTGGGCATGGGGCAACTGAGCACGTTGTTATTGGGGGGTTCCTGGTTGAAGAGGAACACTGGGAACAGCCTTTTCATCACTTCTGACCCAAGTATCGGGCAATTGTCCTGGTTGGCCACATGGTCGGTGTCATCTGGTTTACTAATAAGCAGGAGCTCTCGGCTCCAGGAATGGGCTGGATTTAGAATTTTCTAAACAGCCCTTTTTAGTCCTGGATTTGGCTTCTGCCTGAAGGTGGGTGGGGCAGCAACCCAGACAGCAGCTGTCCAGTTTTTGTCCGTTCTTTTGCCTCTAGAACCATCTCTGCCTCTGGGACGTTGGCTCCACCTTCAGCTCCCTCCCCCAACTATGGGCACAAACTAGGAGGCAGGGCTGGCCCTGGCCAGGTGGAGAGGCTGGCAGCCCCAGCCCCCAGGGGCCAGACAGGATGCAACCCCCATAGGGCTCTTCTACTCTTCCTGGCTCAAGGACCGCCCTAGGTCCCTGGCGGGAGCGCTGGTCAAATCAAGGCAGCTAACAAACTTGCATGGGCCCTTAACTTCCTGCTGCTTCCCTCTCTCTGGTTGCTCACGCTCCCCGACCCCAATGGCTTGGGGAGCCCTGCACTCCCTGTCCCCGGGACTATTGTTTTCCCTCTGAACCATTCCTCCAAGATGAGTTCTGTTACATAAGAGGCAATAAAGAGCTGATGACAGTGGCCTACATTTTATGGAGATTTTACTATGGGGGTATTTTAAATGCATTATCCAACTGAATATTCAAATACAAGCTGCTGACAGGGGGAACAGGAAAAGTGAAATTCTAAGAAGTTTCCTGACCCAGGAAACCCCAGGGTTCACAGCCCCTAAGTGGCCACACCCCACTCTAAACAGGCTTGCTGGACACAGGTCTTTCGGTGCTTCACAATGCACCACTCTCCCCTTTCCCAGACCTGCACTGGGGCGGGGGGCGGGGGAGAAGGATTTACGAAGTCTTCAGACAGCTTGCAGGACAGGAGGCTGTAAAGTACAGAAAAAAATTTATTGGAAATCTCTTGAATACATTTTGAAGTGTAGCTCAGTATTTCCAAACAAAGTAGGTTGGAGAGGTTGGAGGAAGAGGAGGGACTCTGCCACCTGGAGACAGACAGCTGGTCCCAGCCTGTCCCGGGGGTGCTGCAAGAGTCAGTCTAGGGCTCATATGTTTTATGGTAGGGCTGAGGGGCAAGGGCTGCCCGTAACAGTTGCTTTGGTTCTCCCAGGCTCAGCTCAGTCAGGGCTGCGCCTCCCTGGCCTCTTCACAAATGGAGCTCTGGTGAAAGGCTGCTGCCGCCTGCAGAGGCCAGAGAGCTGCCTGGGACAATGGCTAGCAGGCCTTTCCATACAAGGCCTTGGAAAGAGGCCAGTGGCTGAAATATGGGGGCATCAATAACTTACCAGGGGCCTTCAGGATAAACCTGGGCCTGGGTTCAGCAGGCCATGCATGTGCTCTGGCCCAAAGACAGGAGGACCAGTTGACTGCTGCCGCTGAGAACAAGTTCTCTGTGGCAGCAGCAGCAGGCAGAGCTCAGGTCTCCTCCAGAGCCTGCTCCAATCCTCAGAGGTCAACCTTGTAGGTGGGAACAGTGTCACGTGCAGTTTACTAACAAGCAGTTGAGAGCCACCTGCTCCATTCAAGCACAGCTGCTGCCAGTGAGAGCCCCAGGTGGGCCAGGAGGAATGGAGTAAACCTAGATCTCCTTGGCCAGGACTAGCAGCGAGGCTGGGAGAGGACAGATGGCAGGTGGGTGAGGCTAGGCACTTGACTTATTCAAGTAACAATACCTGAAGGGTTAAGTCAATCATACGCCCAGCTTTGGTTTCTCAACTAGGAGCCAATCCAGCTGGTAAACCCCAGGGCAGTGTACAGACCCTGGGATTAGAGGGAGGTGGTAGCTAGCCCCAAGCAGGAGGAAGAAAAGCTCCACAGTCCAGCCCCAAGGACCAGGAACAAGTACCCTAGCAGTCAGGGGACACACACAACATCCCCTAAGCACTCCAAGTGGCCATCACATTTAGACCTCCTGGGCTGCCAGAATAGAGTCAGTCACGCTGCAGAAGCTGTCAGAGATGCAAGGCCCTCACCAGGAATACTCAGCTGTCCAAGGTAAAGCCTGTAGTCAGTTTCAGTGCAGCCATGCTGGGAGCTGACTTCGCTCCCGGTCAGCCCTCTTCTTGGATCTCGCCATCTGTATGGTGGGAAGGCAGATCCTCGCAGCAGCAGCAGCAGCCCGGATTCTCAAGAACCTCCAGAGGAGGACTCCGTCCCAGGAAGAGCCCTCCACCTTCTCCAAGTGAAAAACAACTCACCCCAAACATATTTTCTTTATAAAATATCTGGTTTCTCTGAAAGTAATAAATATTTACTGTGTTCTACAACCAAGGAGCAGCAACAGGGGTAGGAGAGGAAAAGAACCTTTGCTATGACTCCAAGTGACAGAATCCTAGAGATTCAGGGTTCCATTTTTATTTCCCATGTAGCTGAGGACCTGAGCATGGGCAGCCACCAGGGCTGCTCAGACCCTCCCAACCTTCGGGGGTGGGAGTGGCTAGTTTTGGAGTTCTCATCTTGGGCAGACAGGCCTGTCATATTGCCAGAAGTACAGGCATGGGGCAGAGAGGGAGGAAGAGGGGAAGAAGATAGCAGGAAGGAAAGGGGACAATAAAGAGCCAAGGGACTCCTTCCTTCTCTTGGCACCGTCTCCTTCCTCTTTCTGCCTCAACACCAATCTCTTGGCCACCAGCTGAAATGTCAAATAGTGGATGGTGACAGCAGGCAGGGAAGGGGCCAGCTGCAAGGCAGGCCCAGGCAGGAGGCACAGGATGCCACCCTTGGGAAGCAGTTGATGGGTGGGGCACACAGATGGCCCTACTGAGGGCTCTTTTGTATGAGGGGTCTTCCCATCTCCAAGGCCAGAGCGTGAGTCTTCTCCAACTGGGCACTGGGCTTGACTGCCGCCACGGAGGCTCCAGGAGTCCACGAGTAGGGAGTTCTGGGTCCCCATGGGAGATGCCACCCTCCCTTCCACCTGGCTCGGAGCAGGATGAGGTGTGGGAGCAGCTGATGCATGGGAGGCTGCCTGTCCCCTGGGGCCACAAAAAGGGGGGTGCTGCTGGGACTCGAGGATACTTTTACTGCAGGGTTTCCACAAAGGCATCAAACTCGCGGACATTCTTCTCATGCACAGCCAGCTTCTCTGGTAATGAGTCCTGTACCAGGAAGAGAGGAAAGAGCTGCTTATTCAGGCAGGGCCTTGAAGAGGCAGCCAGCCCAGTCCCTGAGAGGGGAGGAAGTGAGCAAGACAAAGCTCAGCTGAGCCTCACTGGGCCGAGCAAGCAGGAGAACACAGGGAAGCTGCGCAGGCACAGGATGGGGAGAGGTATGTCCATCAGGGCTCTACAGGGGCTGCAGGGTTAACAGAACAGCCTTGGGAGTCCAAGTAGGACACA